GGTACACCTTCTGTTATGCAAACAATTAAAGGAATTTCAGATTCAAGTGCTTCTATAATAGCAGCTGCTGCACCTGGTGGTGGTACATAAATAACAGTAGCATGCGGATCAGTTGCTTTTTTAGCATCAGCTACCTATAATATATGAGAGTTTCAATAAAATATATCCAAACCAAATAATTTCATAGAAGAATACATAAAAACGTTTAACTTACACTGGCAAATACCGGTAAACCCAGATGAGTTGTGCCACCTTTTTTCGGTGAAATACCTCCCACTAATTTTGTTCCATACTCTAAGGCCTGCTGACTATGGAAGGTTCCCTGCTTGCCTGTAAAGCCTTGGCAAATAACACGAGAGTCTGCCGTCAACTGCAGATTGAGGCGAGTTTGGTTGTACTGTGAATTCGCACGAATGCCAGTAATGAATGCATCTAAATAAAAAAAATTGTATAAGAGAAATTAAATAAATTATTTGCTTTATAAGTACAAAAAAAACATAATATTCTTTTTTGTTTGCATCATTAAATATCGGCATAACCTTGATACCAATTCGTAGTTTGCATAAATTTTATTATTTCTTCACACCTTGGCCTTTGCATGAGTTTTCTTTCACTTCTAACTTTTCATTGAGTCACATGAATATTCTTTCAGTTTTTGTCTTTCATGGGCACACACCAATTTTTGATAAAACGAAAGGGCAACATTTTTGCTTTTATCAGAATGCATTAATTAATTAAAAATTAATTGCCGGAATAACGCATTTACTCGTTTGTCAATGAAATTTTGTCTGTTTGCCTGGCATTGCACAGATAATTTTGTTCCAAGTTATATAATTTTTCATTAAGTAAAATTTATAAATAATTTATTTTCCTCTCTCATACACACCTCGTACTTTTAACAAAACTCTTGCCGAGGAAGCCATATTCAAATAAATATGTCAGTAAATATTTTATTATAAAATATTGAATAAAAATAAATTAAAAAATGTATGATTCGAACTACTTTCGCGAACTTCGATAACCTGTCGAGCGAACAGGCAAACACCAAGTGTTGCGAGTGAACCGCACAAATTTTTATGACCGAAGCAGATGTTGGAAAATAGTAGTAGAAAAGTCTGTGTAGCAACAACAGTACAGTGGAGAATTTCAATTAATTAATAACAAATTAATTTATAATACTACAAGTAGAATTGAAAAATAGACTGAAAGAGTATATGTATTATAACATACCTGAAATAACGTTCAGGAATCATAGATGAACATCAAAGATCTCGACTCCTTAAAAATGGATTTATCAAAAGTAAAATAGGAAGATTTAATTATTAACAAATAAATTTATAATACCACTACTTTAGTTGAAAAATAGACTGAAATAGTATATGTATTTTAACATACTTGTAAATAACATTCAGGAATCAAAGATGACAATCTCAAAGGTCTCGACTCCTTGAAAAATTGTTTAATCAAAAGTAGAATAGAAAGATTTAATTATTAACAAATAAATTTATAATACCACTACTTTAGTTGAAAAATAGACTGAAAGAGTATATGTATTATAGCATACTTGTAAATAATCTTCAGGAATCAAAGATGGCAATCTCAAAGATCACGACACCTTAAAAATGGATTTATCAAAAGTAGAATAGAAATTAATATTAAACAAAACGAAATTATGAAATACCATCACTATGTTGGAATAATAGATGAAAGATTATATGTATGTTAGCATACTTGTAATATAACCGCTTCAATGAATCAAAGATACGAAAATCTCCAAAATCTTTCGACACCTTAAAAAAACTTGATTATCATAAAGTTAGAAATAGAGATGATTTAAATATAACAAATAAATTTATAAGACCACTACTTTAGTTAAGCAATGACCGAAAAGATTATATATATTATTAACAATCTCACATTGAAATCAACGTTCAAGAACCCACTAGATGAAACATGCAAAGTCAAAGACTTAAAACATAGATTTTATTCAAAGCTGTCTGAATATGAAAGATTTAATTATTAAACAAATATAATTTATAATACCATGCTACCTTAGTTGAAAAAATAGAAAGAGTCATGCATCTATAGCATACTTTTAAATTAATATATCTGAATCAAATATAACAATCTCAAAGATCTCGATCATTCCTAAAATGGTTATTCAAAAGTAAATATAGGAAAATTTTAATTTCATAACAAAAAATTTCATACATTACCATCTACTAGCTTGCAAAAATCAGACCGAAGCAGTATGATGTATTATAACATACATGATCAACTAACATATCGGGAAATCAAAGCGTGACAATCTCAAAAAGATTACACACCTTCAAAATACTTATCCAAATAGTAAAATAGAAAGGATTTAAATTTATTAACAAATTATTAATTTACATAATACTACAAATAGAATTGAAAAATATACTGAAAGAGTATATGTATCATAACAGACCTGTAAATAACATTCGGGAACCAAAGATGACAATCTCAAAGATCACGACACCTTAAAAATGGATTTATCAAAAGTAAAATAGAAAGATTTAATTATTAACAAATAAATTTATAATACTACAAGTAGAATTGAAAAATAGACTGAAAGAGTATATGTATCATAACAGACCTGTAAATAACATTCGGGAATCAAAGATGACAATCTCAAAGATCTCGACACCTTAAAAATTGATTTATCAAAAGTAGAATAGAAAAATTTAATTATTAACAAATATATTTATAATACCACTTCTTTAGTTGAAAAATAGACTGAAAGAAAATATGTATTATAACACACATAAAAAAACGTTCAGGAATCATAAGTGAACATCAAAGATCTCGACTCCTTGAAAAATGGATTTATCAAAAGTAAAATAGAAAGATTTAGTTATTTAACAACATAAATTTATATTATCACTTCTTTAAGATAATAATACTGAAACAAACATATATATATATTATATCAAACCTGTAAATCAGAAATCATAGATTGATATCATATCAGCATATTATATCATCATAGGAATCATAGATAAATATCTGAAACATCCCGATGCCTTAAAAAATTGATTAATCAAAAATAGAATAGAAAGATTTGGTTTTCAATACATAAATTTGACTTAAAATATATAAGTATTATATTATACCTATAAACAATGTTCAGAAACGTACCTCTTTATCTACACAATAGAAGTACTTAATCAAAAATATTTTTCGAAAATCGTAGAAGAGCATCTTCGACATCGTAATGCTTTAGAAAATAGTTAAATATTTTATTTATTAACAAATAGATTTATAATATGT